TCTGGAACTTCACTGCTAGATGGCACTAAATCCTACACACTGGACCTGTGAAGATATAGTTATTACCGTCGTTATGAAGAAAATTTACTTTAATATTTTTTTTACGCACATTGCACCTGAAACACAATAACAAGCACACAGGGCTTATTGACATGCAAATGTGGAGAGATTGTGGAGTGATGGGCTGCCAGCTAGCTGCACCCCGGGAGCAGTTAGTCTAGAGTACTTGCTGTAAACATGTTGTATGCTTTTATAATTTATGTGCCTTTGTTTTTTTGTGACCTTGATTCATGTGTGCTTTTATATGAATGCATTCCCTACAGACTGGCAGCCATGCTGACCAGCTTTATAGAGGGTATTCTCTGCTGCCTGACCTCAAAGTCGGCCAACGTTGTGGTTCCTGTAGAAACCTCAGAACCAGCTGATGGCTACGAGTTTGTGGAAGTGAAACCAGGCCGTGTCCTGCGGGTTCGCCATATCATCCCTGACCGGCCGGTGGTGGAGGAACCCACTGGGCAGGGTGGGATTGTCAGCTGCAAACGAAAGATCACAGTATATCGTAATGGACAGTTGTTCATTGAGAACTTGGGTGACAGAGCGAGTGCAGAGCTGAAAACCTGCCAGAATGGAGATACAGAACCAAACAGCACTGTAGAGGTTGAACTGACAGATTGCAGTAACTCCTCACCGCCCGTCAGTATCCCAGAGACCAGGTCTGACTCTGTCACAGCTGTAAAAGACGGGACATCTGAAACAGGAGCAAGAGGAGCGGCATCTGCTGCTGGACAGACTGACCAGTCACAGCAGCCCAGGAAGCGCAGGCGGAAGCCAAAGCGCACTGTGGTAATCGACTGTGAAAGGAAGATATCATCCTGTAAAGGGACACATCAAGACGTGGCTCTGTTCTTCATCCATGGAGTGGGAGGCTCACTGGACATCTGGGGAAGCCAATTGGACTTCTTTTCCAGGCTGGGCTATGAGGTGATCGCTGTGGACCTGGCAGGTCATGGAGCCAGCTCAGCACCACAGATAGCTGCCGCATACACTTTCTATGCCCTGGCTGAGGACATGAGACTCATCTTCAAGAGATATGCACACAAGAGGAATATTCTCATAGGACATTCTTATGGGTAAATTTAAGAACACTACATTCAAGTAACATTTAGAGGATTTAGAAGATTATCAATTAAAGTGAGAAAGAAAAAGA